TTGCACCTGATCCTGAGGGTTGTGTTGGTATATAGGGCACAAATCATATGGAGGAGCCTGCGGTCGATTGATGTCGCTTCCAGCTTCTCCCACAGTCTATCTCTGGATATTGAATCAAAGGCTGCCTTCAAATCTATGAAGGCGGCATATAGTGCTGTTACTTTATTTGATGAATATTTTTCAATTAAACGCTGTAGGATCACAAATTATTCAATGGTGCCTCTACCCTCTCTAAACCTGGCCTGTTTGTCTGTTATCAGGTTTCCCTGATCCATCCAGACCTTCAGTTTTTCATACAGGTGCTTGGTGTAGAGCTTGCTGATTATACTTAGTAGGCTTATTGGCCTATAATTTGCAGGCCAATTTTACCCTTCTTGAAGATTGGGACTATAATTGCCACACCCCAATCCTTGGGTATCAATGGGAGTCAATGAAGGTAATGAGTGATGCTAAGATTGGGGTCCACCACTCTAAATTCTTCTTTAATAGTTCTGGGGGTATAAGATCAGCTCCCGGGGCTTTCCCCATTCTGAGTTGATCTATAAGCATCTTAATTTCATGTGCTGTTACTGGGGGCCAATCAGGTAGATCTTCCTCCATTTGCAATCCTGATTGATTAGATGGATCGTTGTACATTCTCTGGAAATGAAGTTCCCAAACTTTTGGGGATATATAGGAGTCTATTAAGGTAGGGGTTCTATACATCTGGTTAGAGATTATCTGCCAAAAGAGAGACGAGTTCCTTCACTTAGCAGCATCAATCAGATGTTTCCAAGTGGCTATTATGTCTCTTTTTTTCTTCTCAGCCACTAATTGTTTGTACTGCTTCTTAAGGGTAAGCAGAGATTTGAGTGTCTCCATATTTTTATCCTTGTCTCCTACCTGCGATTTATACAGGTGTTAAGCAGAAGTAAGAGCTTTCTTAGCCTCCACACATACTTTGTTGAACCAAGGCTTTGATGCATTTATAGATCTTTCAGCTGGAGATGCGCGACCATAAGCCAATAAGGAATGTAAGTTTTGTATTAGGGTTTTATATAAGTTCAGAGGGTCTTGGGTGAACTTAGTTGTTATAAAAGCTGCTCGGCAAGTCTGGATATTCTTCTCTGCAAGCG